CAACGCTCAACATGAAGGCATGCATTCATCATCATAATTGACTACTAGCTCACTTATATAGTTACATTATTATAATCTTAAATTAGCTATGATTTGCTTTAAGGTAACTAAAATAAGTATTTGTCTAAATTTCACATCACATTACATCACTTCACTATTTCTCGATATTTTTTATTATGAGTAATTGGCTACTAAAACTAACAAGATCCCACATGACTTTGTTTTTATTTAAGTATAAATCGTCAAATGTAGTTTTACTAAAATATATGAATAGTGTAAAAGATAAATGTTACAACTATAAAGAAAATCGAGGAGTAAATGTGTTTTTTTTTTTTTAAAATGTAACTCCCTCCTATTGTTTGACAAGAGTAACGTATCTAACGACTACAAATTAAATAATAAATGGGGATGAAATAAACAACTTGTTTTTCTTTCCTTTTCTACACATACAAACAATACTCGTTTACAACAACAATAAAGAACAAGTCTCCGACGACTCTGTTTTTTGGGTTTTTTTTTCCTCTCCAAAAATCACACATACATTTCTTCCTCATGAAATTACGTGATCACCTTCTTTAAGTTTTTCTTCTTCTTCTCTCTTAAACGACTTCTTCAAATTATTTATTTATTCATTCTTTGATGAATTAAGGAGTTTTTCTGAATTCTGAGTTACAACTTCCATCAGAATTTATCATTTACAGGTACTTAACAATCATTATTTCTTTTATTAATTTCCTTAATTTTATTTCTTTGATGTTATTGATTATTTAAAATTCTGGGTTTTGGGTTACATGTACTGAGGAAAACAGGGTTTTTTTTTTTTTTTTTTATAAAATAATTTTTTGATCATCTTATTTGGTGGTATATTCAGTTATTCATAGAAAATGATTCCCACTTTTTGTTTGAGTTCTAATTTGAAATTGATATGTTTATCTTTGGGATTCGAATATTTTGAGTTGACTTGTATGATAGAAATTACTAAATTTTTATATGTTCTATGTTACGGAGTAGTTCATTTAGAGGGAGGGCGCAAAGTTTTAGTAACTCGTGTGATCAAAAGATATATTATGTGTCCAAATGTCAGACTCGATTATTTTATGATGTCCGTATTTAATTGTAAAGTGCCAATACCCATGTCGGAGTGTCGAGGATCCAATAAGGGTACTTGCGGAGAAATGAAGAATCCGAGCAATATATGCTTTAACATTTCTGTTAATGATAGTCTTTTCTGATGCAAGATATTATTAGTACTATGTAATTGTAGTATTACCTTAAGGAGGATTGATGGACATTAACACTTAATTTCATATTTATGCAGGAAGCAGAATTCAAGGGCTTAGCATAATTGTAATTATATCTATATCAATGCAACTGTATTGAACTTCTATCAATCTATGAATTACTAATTCATGAACTCTACTTCAAGCATCTGAGGAGGAAGATAGAATTATCTGATATCATTTTTTCGGTATGATTTCCTCTTCCATGTACTTGGATTTTATCTTGCATCTATCAGTTTAATTTACTCTCAGATACTAAAGCATTTCCTGTCTTATTTTCAGGGAAAAAAAAAAAGGTCAGTTTTTTAACATGAACAATATTAAACTGGGGGTAGAAGTCACTGCAGCACATGATCTTGTGCCTAAAGACGGTGAAGGCTCATCGAGTGCCTATGTAGAGCTCAAGTTTGATGATCAAAGATATCGTACTAGCACGAAAGAAAAAGACTTGAATCCTGTTTGGAATGAGGTATTCTATTTCAATATATCCAATCCAAACAATCTTCCGAATCTTACCCTTGAAGCAGTTGTCTATAGCTACAATCAATCAACCAACGCTAAGGATTTCCTTGGTAAAGTATGTATCAGTGGATCATCCTTTGTTACTTACCCTGAGGCTTCTGAATTCTACTTCCCCTTGGAAAAACGACATATTTTCTCTCGTGTTAAAGGAGAACTCGGCTTGAAGGTCTATTATACAAATGATCCATCCAACAGACTGTCCATGCCGCCTCCTGTTATGGAATCAGATCATATACAATTCTCTGAAGGCCTAGAAGCCGGAAATGAAATCCCAAAATCATCTTCTAGGGAGTCAAAGTCGAATACAAGGCATACTTTCTGGCATCTCCCAAAGCAGCAGGACAGTGCTCCGAAACCTCAGCCTCAGCCTCAAGTAACTCAACATGTTTCTGCTGCTAAGTCTGAATCACAAGCTCCAAAAGTTATGCAAGCAAATCCGGGGATTCCAGGACAGGCATTTGAGTACAAGCTTAGAGAGACAAGTCCTATGCTTGGTGGTGGAAGAGTTGTTGGGGGTCGAGTTATACGTTCTAGTTACAAACCTGTTAGCACGTATGACCTTGTTGAACAGATGCTATTTCTTTTTGTTCGTGTGGTAAAGGCTCGTGAACTTCCCACCAAGGATCTTACAGGAAGCCTTGATCCATATGTAGAGGTAAAAGTTGGGAATTACAAAGGGGTTACCAAGTATTTTGAGAAAAAGAAAGATCCTGAATGGAATGAGGTATTCGCCTTCTCTAGGGAACGTCTGCAGGCATCTGTGTTGGAAGTTCAGGTGAAAGATAAGGATTTGATGAAGGATGATTTTGTTGGAGTCATCCGATTTGATCTTCATGAAGTTCCGACTAGAGTTCCACCTGATAGTCCATTGGCTCCTCAATGGTATCGTCTTGAAGACAAGAAAGGAGATAGGAGTAATAATAATGGGGAACTGATGCTCGCGGTCTGGTATGGTACTCAAGCAGACGAGGCCTTTACTGATGCTTGGCATTCTGATGCCATTACTCCTCCTGATATGTCAGCTTCAGCTGCTAACCATATCCGTTCCAAAGTCTACCATTCACCCAGGTTATGGTACCTTCGAGTCAATGTAATCGAGGCTCAAGACTTGATTACCTCAGATAAAGGCCGGTTTCCTGATTGTTACATAAAGGCACAGCTTGGAGCCCAAACATTAAGAACAAAGCCTGTTCAAAGCAGGATGGGAAACCCCTTTTGGAATGAGGATCTGATGTTTGTTGCTGCTGAGCCTTTCGATGAGCATTTGATCATTTCTATTGAAGATAGAATAGGTCAGGGAAAAGAAGAGACTATTGGCAGGGTCAGTATTCCATTAGCTGCTGTTCGCAAGCGTCCTGATGATAAGAATTTTCCCACCCAGTGGATCAACCTTCAGAAACCAAGCTCTTCTGATACTCATGAAGAGGAGAAGAAAGTTAAGTTTGCGAGTAAATTACATGCTCGTATAAGCCTTGATGGCGGTTACCATGTCCTTAATGAATCTACTTACTATAGTAGTGATCTCAGACCAAGTATGAAGCAACTGTGGAAATCTTCAATTGGTGTTCTTGAACTAGGAATACTGAATGCTGATGGACTCCACCCTATGAAGACAAGAGATGGAAGGGGAACTGCGGATACCTTCTGTGTGGCTAAGTACTGTCAGAAATGGGTTCGTACACGAACAATCATTGATAGTCTTAGCCCCAAGTATAATGAGCAGTACACATGGGAAGTGTATGATCCTGCAACTGTTCTTACCATTGGTGTTTTTGACAACGGCCATATTGCTGGCAACAAAGACACTAAAATCGGAAAGGTGAGGGTTCGAATCTCCACACTTGAAGCAGGCCGTGTATATACTCACTCATATCCCCTGCTAGTCCTCCAACCTTCTGGTTTGAAGAAGATGGGAGAGTTGCATTTGGCTATTCGATTCTCTTGCACAAACATGACCAACATGATGTTTTTGTATGGAAAGCCGCTTCTCCCTAAGATGCATTACTCTAGACCATTGTCTTTGATGCAGACTAATACTTTGAGGGTTCATGCTACTAATGTCTTAGCTTCTAGGCTTAGCAGAGCCGAACCCCCTTTGAAGAAGGAAGTGGTGGAGTATATGTGTGATGTTGATGCACATTTTTGGAGCATGAGGAGAAGTAAGGCTAATTTCTATCGCATTATCTCCCTACTTCAAGGTTTGATTGCAATTGGGAAATGGTTCACAGATGTGTGTGCTTGGAAAAACCCGGTCACAACTGTCCTTGTTCATTTGCTCTTTGTGATGTTGGTTTGTTTCCCTGAGCTCATTCTTCCAACAGTGTTCCTGTACATGTTTTTGATCGGGCTATGGAATTATCGGTATAGGCCAAAAAACCCTCCTCACATGGACACAAGGATCTCCTATGCTGACAACACAATCCCAGACGAACTTGATGAAGAGTTTGACACCTTTCCAACAACAAAAGGCACAGACGTGGTTCGAAGAAGGTATGATCGACTCAGGAGCATAGGTGCCAAAGTGCAATCTGTGTTGGGTGATTTTGCTGCTCAAGGAGAAAGGGCTCAAGCATTGCTAAGTTGGCGAGATCCACGAGCCTCGGCTCTATTTCTGACATTCTGCCTGTTTGCTGCAATTATTCTGTATGCTATTCCTTTCAATGTTATGGCTCTTCTTGCTGGTTTTTATACCATGAGGCATCCGAGGTTTCGCAGTAAGTATCCTGCTACTCCAACAAATTTCTTTAGAAGATTACCAGCAAAAACAGATTGCTTGCTGTAAATAGTTATCTTTATTTATAGGCCCTCTGAATGAATACCCTTCTGTATGTTGAGATGAGGCCCTTCTTTTTAGCTGCTTATTTCTTTCCAATTTCCTTGTGGATTTTGGGTAATGTAAACATTTTGTCCCTGAAAAACTGAGTAATACATAATGTATTCATGTGTACAATATTTTGTAAATATCTGTTTTATCCTTGCCTATTTTTATATATTACAAGATACAATTTTGATAAACAGAATGCAGGTCTTTTAAATCATAAACAGTATATATGCAGGTATTTTGAGTAAATTCTATACACATAAACCTGCATACTTCTAAATTGCAGCTCAATGGTCTTTAAGAGCATAGCGAAGACCTAAAGGTACGAAGTTAGTTGTCATGTTGATAGTGTAATTTGAACTATTTACATCCGTAGGTAGTATAACAACTTAATCTGGATGAAGGTAATAATACGTAAGCATCATTTGCATTTTTCAGGGAGATTTTATTCTAGTGTCATGATAGTTTGTTTTATGTAATGAAATTGAGCTTTATTTTACCAAGATTTTACTACATCATCAGCTCATAACACTTGCTATTATATAAATTAAACCATCATATAGACTGACATAAATCATATCAGCAGATCTCAACATATTCTTCATCTAAATTCTTAAGCATCAGCCCATGTAATATTAAGTTGGCCCCACTGACCCTGTGGGACCCCCAGAGCCTTCCAAACAGCCTTAGAAGCAGCAACAATGTTATACCCACAAGGTGGGTGATAACCCTCCCCTGCATCACACCCCTTTGTAGAATCACACTCATCAACCACCTTAGCCTTCACAGTCTTCCCATTCCCACTTATCGCGATCATCTTTCCACACCGTGCCCCACTGTTATACCACCCTGTCGAGAGTGCAACCACTAGTGAGTTGTCGGTATGGTAGGCGTTGTCACACTTGGAGTGGCTGTTCTGAAAGGTTCTAAGTGTGAGCATTCCCGGTGTTTGGGAGGTTACTGAAGGGGAGCATTGGAAGATGAAGTAAACTGTGTTTTGGACACAGCAGTTGGTACTGCATTTTCCTGGTGGAGGGCTTGTGGCTCGGAAATAGCCTGTTGTTCTGCAGTTTTGACCTTCAACTTGTACACTATATATAATCAGTAACACAACAAATGAAAACCATACTCTAATACTATTATTATTCAACATTGTTGTCTTTGATTTTTTTTTTTTTTTTTTTTTTTTGTTGTGTGAAGTTTGTGTTTTTGATTATTTGAAGATTGAGATAATAAGAGATGATATATATACACTTATAAAAGGGGTGGTTTTGTTGACATGATGTATTAATCTTTGTGTTTATCTTGTTACTATTATTGCAAATTTTTGTCAACTTTGGAGAGCTGGTCATAGGCTCATAGCATTCAACATGATGTTCCTTGATAAAGTTTGTCGGTTGGCCATGAATTAGTAGTTTATGGATAAAATGGGAATTAGATTTAAAGTAACAATTGTTTAGTCAAAAATAATGTTTATTAAGGGAAATTTATATAAGATTTCTCTAATCTACATGGCTTGTAGTTGAGACTAAATTCATATTGCATCAATTTTGGTAAAATTGATCCGATTCATAAGTGAATTTGATTGAAATGCATCAATAACCTTCCATATTAGATTAAATGACAAAAAAAAAAAAAAAAAAAAAAAAAAAAAAAAAAAAAACTGAATTAAAATGAACCTATTCAAACTTGAACTAAATACGAACATGATCCTAATGGAATAAAATCAAACCGAATTACCTCTATCTTGTGTTTTCCATGTTTGAATTTTGATGGACTAGTATTGTAGGCTCTTCATTAGTACTTGTATGAAGTAGGCTATTTAGTTTTGTGTTGAATTAGGCAGCCGATCTTGTCCGAAGTGTTGCCTAATTGTGTGGGACAAATTTGGATTAATATCGACCCTAATTAAACAGAACTCAAGCTTTAGCCCAGTCTTCAATGTAATTTGTAACCTTTTTTCTCTTTAACCCAACCGTCCAACACAATAGAATCTTAATTTTGGTGGGTTTTTTTTTTTTTTTTTTCCCAAATGAACAATATAATTACATGAAATCTTATTAAACTTTGTCATATTCTAGGCTCATTCTAATGTCTAAAAGCCTGTTCACAATTACTGAAGTGAGCAAAACTGAACTGAACTAATTGGAGCAAAACTAAACGGAACTGAATTGAATAGAGCTGAAATGAATATTTTATGAGAGAAGGAAATTAGGAGCTGAACAGATCTGAGCTGAACTGAAATTAAGCTGAAGTGAACGGGCCCTAAATATCATAGACATTTGTTCTAGTAGAATTTTGATAATTATCCACTTATAAATGGTAAAAAGTTGATACAAAAATTTGAGACTATTCTAAAAAGTATTCACATAACTATATTTAATATTTTATCCGAGTTACTGACTTACCGAGTATGAATCGGGTACTATCGTATTATATATAGAGCTGTCAAAAGTTGACCCGACCCGAAATACCGACTCAAACCCCGATTATTAACCAACCCATTTGAACCCAAAAAAAATAGTGACCCAAACCCGACCTGAAACCAACCCTAGACCCGAGTTGACCCGAGTATGTGAGATCCGAACCCGAACATGAACTGACGTGGAGATGACTCGATCCGAATGTAACCCGTAAATTATTGACCTCAACCGAACCCGACTTGAACCAAAATTGACCCATACCCGTTTTAACCTGTCAAAACCCGAATTTAACCCGACTTGTTACTAACCTGACCTGAATTCAACCCGACTCGTTCCTAACCCGACCCGAATTTAACCCAACCTGTTACAAACTCGACCTAAAATCAACCCGACTTGTTATTGACCTGACCTAAATTCAACCCGACTTGTTATTGAACCGACCCGAATTTTACTAGAACTATTACTAAGTCGACCCAAAAATTCAATCTGATTTGTTACTTACCCGACTCGAAATCAACACAACTTGTTATTGACCTGACCTAAATTCAACCCAAATTGTTCCTAATCCGATTTCAAATCACCTTAATTGCAATTTAGACCACCTTATTATTGTTGATCAAAGCATTTTGTCTAAGGAGACCAAGTCGGTCCAGACCAGCAAAAGAAAGGAGCATCATCCTCAAATTTAAGAGTTAAATATACTATACTCCGTAGAGTTGTTGTATGGTCAAATGAGATAATTATCTTCCTAAATTATAAACTATATATTCCTAGTATATTGCTATATATATTATAGTTAAACGAAACAATTAGCTTGATAAAAATCATAATTATATATTTATAGTTAGTTGAACCCGAATATGACCAGACTCGGAAATGACCCGACCTGATTGTAACCTGTAAATTATTGACTTGAACATAACCCGAATTGACTCCGAGAATGACTCGACTTGGAAATGACCCAACCTGATTATAACCCTCACATTATTGACTTAAACCGAATCCGACTTGAACCCGAGAATGACCCGACTTGAAAATGACCCGACCTGATAATAACCCGCAAATTATTGACCTGAACCGAACCTGACTCAAACCCGAGAATGACCCGACCTGATTCTTACCCGCAAATTATTGACTTGAACCAAACTCGACTCAAACGTGAGAATTACCCTAACCCGTTTTAACCCGTGAAAACCCGAATTAAACTCGGCCTATTGTTCACCCGACCCGTATGTAACCTGACCAAATCCAATAAAAAGTATGACCCGACGTGACCCGACTCAAGTATGACACAACCCAAACATGATCCGCATAGGTTATGGAATTAATTCGAATTGACCCGACCCGAGTTGACCCGACCCAAACCTGACTAGTTTACCCGAATTGACAGCTCTACCCGAAATCTCCAAAATTTCTCAAAGAGTGTAGATAAAAATTTTGGAATTTTTTTACTTTTTTTCACCTTAAAATAAAAATTGCTGAAATGTTTATCATGGTCTCTAATACCCTCCAAGAGTCCAATTGGCTGAGTAAAAACCAACCAATTTGTCTTTAAACGACCAATTTACCGATTTACAACTTGCACCGATTACATTAACTAAATCTTACCACGAACATTTATGACAACATATAATGATCATATATGGATCCAAACAACATTATATGACCCCAAGATGTATCCCCTAAAATCTCAATGATTTTCAACACTTGGCCCCGAAACATTCGAAATTTCTCAAAAAGCATAGATATTAGCCTTCAATTTTGGAAGTTTTTGACTTTTTTCGGCCGAATATAAAAATTGCCCAAATGCTTACCATGGTCCCAAATATCCTCATGGAGTCCAATTGGGTGGGTGGAACCATCCAATTTGCCTTTAAACGACCAATTTTCCGGTTTTCAACTTGCACCGATTTCATTAACTCAAGCCTACCAGGAACATTTATGACAACAAATAATGATCATATATGATTCCAAACGACATTATATGACCCCGAGATGTATCTCCTAAAATCCAAATGCTTTTCGACACCGGGTCTCGAAACCTGCAAAATTTCTCAAAAAGCATGGATTTGCATTCAATTTTGGAATTTTTTTACTTTTCTTTTTCTGGAAATAAAAATTGTCGAAATGTTTACCATGGTCTCTAATATCCTCTGGGAGTCCAATTGGTTGGGTAGAACCATCCAATTTGCCTTTAAACGACCAATTTACTGATTTACAACTTGCACTGATTTCATTAATTCAAGCCTACCAGGAACATTTATGACAACATATAATGGTCATATATAGTTCCATACGGCATTATATGACTCTAAGATGTTTCCCCTAAAATCTCAACCCTTTTCGTCACCGGGCCCCGAAACCTCCAATATTACATAAAAAACGTGGATATTAGCCTTTAATTTTGGAATTTTTTGATTTTTTTTTTTGTCCGGAAATAAAATATGTCAAAATGTTTACCATGGTTCCTAATACCCTCCGAGAGTCCAATTGGGTGGGTGGAACCATCCACTTTGCCGTTAACCGACCAATTTACCGGTTTACAACATGCACCGCTTTCATTAACTCAAGCCTACCACGAACATTTATAACCACAAATAATGATCATATATGGTTCCAAACGACATTATATGACCCCGAGATATATCCTCTAGAATTTTAAAACTTTTCGACATCGGAACCCGAAACCTACAAAATTTCTCAAAAAGTGTGGATATTTAGTCTTCAATTTTTGAAATTTTTAACTTTTTTTTGCCCGGAAATAAAAATTTCCGAAATGTTTACCACGATCCCTATCTGGGAGTCCAATTGGTTGGGTGGAACTATCCAATTTGCCTTTAAACGGCCAATTTACTGATTTACAACTTGCACCGATTTCATTAATTCAAGCCTGCCACGACCATTTATGAGAACATATAATGATCATATATGGTTCCAAACGGCATTATATGACCCAGAGATGTATCCCCTAAAATCTCAAAACTTTTCGACACCGGGCTCTGAAACTCGAAAATTTCTCTAAAAGCGTGGACATTAGCCTTTAATTTTGGAATTTTTTGACTTTTTTTTCGCCCGGAAATAAAATTGTCGAAATGTTTACCATGGTTCCTAATACCCTCCGATAGTCCAATTGGGTGGGTGGAACCATCCACTTTGCCTTTAACCAACGAATTTACCAGTTTACAACATCCACCGATTTCATTAACTCAAACCTACCACGAACATTTATAAACCACAAATAATGATCATATATGGTTCCAAAGGACATTATATGACCCCGAGATATATTCCCTAGAATTTTAAAACATTTCGACATCAGAACCCGAAACCTACAAAATTTCTCAAAAAGTGTGGATATTAGTCTTCAATTTTTGGAATATTTTAACTTTTTTTTGCCTGGGAATAAAATTTGCCAAAATGTTTACCATGGCCTCTAATATCCTCTGGGATTCCAATTGGTTGGTTGGAAACATCCAATTTGCCTTTAAACGATCAATTTACTGATTTACAACTTGCACCGATTTCATTAATTCAAGCCTAACAGGAACATTTATGACAACATATAATGGTCATATATAGTTCCATAAGGCATTATATGACTCCGAGATGTATCCCCTAAAATCTCAACCTTTTTCGTCACCGGGCCCCGAAACCTCCAAAATTTCTCAAAAAGCGTGGATATTAACCTTTAATTTTGTAATTTTTAGACTTTTTTTCGCCCGGAAATAATAATTGCCGAAATGTTTACCATTGTCCCTAATACCCTTCGGGAGTCCAATTGGGTGGGTAGAACCATCCAATTTGCCTTTAAACGGCCTATTTACCGGTTTATAACTTGAATCGATTTCATTAACTCAAGCCTACCACGAACATTTATGACAACAAATAATGATCATATATGGTTCCAAACGACATTAAATGACCCTGAGATGTATCCCCTATAATTTCAAGACTTTCCGACACTGGACCCTGAATCCTCCAAAATTTCTCAAAAAACGTGGATATTAGCCTTCAATTTTGAAATTTTTGACCTATTTTTTGCCCAGAAATAAAAATTGCCGAAATCTTTACCATGGTCTCTAATACTTGAGAGTCCAATTGGGTGGGTGGAACCATCTAATTTGCCTTTAAACGAACAATTTATCGGTTTACAACTTGCACCGATTTCATTAATTCAAGCCTACCATGAAAATTTATGACAACAAATAATGATCATATATGGTTCCAAACGACATTATATGACCACGAGATATATCCTATAGAATTTCAAGACTTTTTGACACCGGCCCCCAATACCTCCAAAATTTCTCAAAAAACGTGGATATATCTCCGATTTACCGATTTACAACGCTAATTTAATTTGACACCGGCCTTCAATTTTGGAATTTTTTAACTTTTTTTCGTCCGGAAATAAAAATTGCCGAAATGTTTACCATGGTCCCTAATATCCTCCGGGAGTCCAATTGGGTGTGTGGAACCATTTAATTTGCTTTTAAACTGCTAATTTACCTGTTTACAACTTGCTCCGATTTACCGATTTACAACGCTAATTTAATTAACTTGCACCGAACCCGACTTGAACCGAAATTGACCCATACACGTTTTAACTCGTTAAAAACCAAATTTAACCCGACTTGTTTCTAACTTGATATGAATTCAACCCGACTCGTTCCTAACTCGACCCGAATTTAACCCAACTTGTTACAAACTCGACCCGAAATCAACCCGACTTGTTATTGACCTGACCCAAATTCAACCTGAATTCTTATTGAACCAACCCGAATTTTACCAGACCTATTACTAACCCGACCCAAAAATTCAACCCGATCTGTTACTAACCCGACTCGAAATCAACATGACTTGTTATTGACCCGACTCAAATTCAACCCAAATTGTTCTTGACTCGATTTCAAATCACCTTAAATGAAATTTAGACCACCTTATTATTGTTGATCAAAGCATTTTGTCTAAGGAGACCAAGTCGGTCCAGACCAGCAAAAGAAAGGAGCATCATCCTCAAATTTAAGAGTTAAATATACTATACTCCGTATATTTGTTGTATGGTCAAAGAAGATACTTCTAAATTATAAACTGTAATTTCCTAGTATATTGCCATATATATTATAGTCAAAGGAAATAATTAGCTTGATAAAAATCATAATTACCTATTTATAGTTAGTTGAACCCTTATATGACCAGACTCAGAAATGACCCGGCCTGATTGTAACCTGTAAATTATTGACATGAACATAACCCGAATTGACTCCGAGAATGACCCGACTTGGAAATGACCCAACCTGATTATAACCCGCAAATTATTGACTTAAACCGAACCCGACTTAAAACCGAGAATGACCCAACCTGATAATAACCGCAAATTATTGACTTGAACCGAACCCGACTCAAAATCGAGAATGACCTGACCTGATTCTTACCCGCAAATTATTGACTTGAACCGAACTCGACTCGAACGTGAGAATTACCCTAACCCGTTTAAACCTGTTTTAACCCGAATTAAACCCGACCTATTGTTCACCCGACCCGAATGTAACTCATCCTGTTATTAACCCGACTTAAACCCGACCCAAACCCGACAAGAAGTATGACCCGACGTGACCCGACTCAAGCATGACCCAACCCAAACTCGACTTTCATAGGTTGTGGAATTAATCTGAATTGACCCGACCCGAGTTGACCTGACCCACTCTTACCCGACCCAAACCCAACCCGTTTACCCGAATTGACAGCTCTAATCTATTAACTATTACTAAAACAGATGATGATGACATCATCACTGCCCACGTGTCATTCTCTTAATAAAAATTTTCCCGCCTAAATACAATGACGATGCCATTTATTTTTTTATTTATTTTTGTAGAGTTATCATATTTAACATTTTTGAAATTTAAATATTAGAAGCTTCTATCTTACAACTAAAACCTATCAATTTATTGTAAGAAATTAAAACAAATTTCAATAACACACTAATAAACTATCTCCTATATTGATCTATGAATTAGACGACATCGAACAAATACTATATTATAGTTTTGATGAAATTAAAAGATTTTAAATTACAAAATGTACGTAATTCTTATTTATATTCATATATAATAGCGATTTATTATTAAAATGTACAAATTAAAAATAGGTTTTATATAAAATCATGCATCGCACGGGTTCTAACTTAGTTATACATAACGGGACAATTTAGATACGAACGGAGGTCATGTTTTTAATAAATGGCGGCAAACATATGCAGTGTACCCCGTGCTGCAATTGCTAAGCTGTAGTAGTGTAGTGGCGTTTCATCTATCTCCCATCATTTCCATTCTTATCAAAAATCGCACTAATTAATCTTATTTACTCGTAATATGTATCGTCCCACTCTCAACTGTTCAAATAAACCCATTTCTCGAAAATCCCACTTTAAAATGACTACCAGAATTCCTTCAATTTAATACCCACAACATAATTCATCATTATTCTTCAACTGGGTATGTTTTCTTTCTTTGTAATTTCAACTTTTTCATGCCTTTTTTACCGATCATTTTCTGTAAAAACTTGAATCTTTAGACTATAAAATCTAATACTAGTATAACTTGAGTTGGGTTTTTGGGTTCTTGATGTTTACATGCAGGGGAAGAGAGAGAATTATGGATTTGGAATCAGAAAAGTTTGAAAAAATTGGAATTGATAAAATGCTCTCTTCAATAAAAAACAAAAGTAGGAAATCAAAGCTACATTATCTTATAGGGAAAATATTTGGTCCATTTTCTTTTATAAATATTTCTCAAGGAAAGGAAGAAGTTGATGATTTTGGACATAACACAAGAAATATGGTGGAAGTGGCCATTTTGATGAATATTGTGCAACGTTTGCACAAAGGTAAGTCGTATTGTAAACTTGTTAGGAGTTGATTGTTTCCTTTTTTATGTATTCATTTGATTGTTCTCTAAATAGCTGTAAATTATGATTAGTGATAATGTGTTGCATGTCAAATGCTATCAACAAATGTTATGTAAATGTGGTTGAGGAGTCCAAAGTCCAAACCCTTATTGTTACAAGCAAGGGTGATTCTTGTTTTTGTTGTTGTTCACTATGTTGTTCGGACTTAGTATTTATGTCTCGCACTGGTACGTGTCCAAGTGTTGGTGAAAATTCCATGATTTTAGCCCAAAATGGAGGGTTGATATGTCCTATCCATGTTTTAAATGTTGAGAATGATGTGGGTACTTGAGGTAAAATAAAGAGTCCGAGCAACATAGGTTGTTGGTTGTTTCATGTCAACTTTTTTATGTATAAGGTAGGTTCAGAATTTGGAATGGGTTGCTCAATTTCTTAATTCTTAATGTGGCTCTTAAATCTGCTAAAAAATTTGTACGTATAATAGACCTTGGTCTATTACAAGGCTTGTTTTCTATATAATGATTTCCATAATATCTGATGCTTTTGCTGTTGTACACAGAATGGTGCTACAGCCAAAAGATTTCTGTTTGTATAGTATCTCAATATGCAGCACAAGTTAAGGAGATTGAGAGAAGAATTGGGAAAAGGTATGGAAAGCTTTTAAACTTTGAGTTGAAGGTGAAATCGGTTGAAGGATTTCAGGACGAAGCAGATATTGTTATAGTATCTACTGTAAGATCCAATTCTGCTGGATCTTCTGAGTTCAGCTTAGATTATCGAATAACCAATGTTGCTTCGAGTAAGGCCAGGTATGACTTGGGATGATGTCTCTGGACAAACTATAGTTTCTGTTTGTTTGTTTGTTTTTTAAATCAAGTTTACTCCCCTCCCCCCTTTTCAACAATTGTAGGCATTGCCTTTGGATACTGGGGAACATGGAAACCCTTGCTGAAGCGAATAATGTATGGAAAGATATAATTGCTGAGGCCAAACAGCACAAGTGTTGCTTTAATGCTGAAGTAGATGAGACTTTAGCTAAAGTCATGGTAGATGTTAAAAGCAAGTTGGATGAACTCGAAGACTTGCTTGACAAGGATAATAATATTTTCAAAGCTTCAAGATGGAAGGTATACTCTTGCTTTATCCTTCCAGAAGTGTATTCTTTTGAATTTTGTGATAATATTGCATTATGTATCAAACTGAATTTTCTCATTCCTTTTCTTTGTAGGTAGTTTTTAGTGAGAATTTTGTCAAATCTTTTGCCAAACTGCACTCAATCTACTCTAAGAAGCTTGTGGTGAATTTCCTTCTGAAATTAGCTAATGGCTGGCGGCCTAATAAAAAGAACACTGATGTGGTCTGTGAAAGCTCTGTCAAAATTGCTAAACAATTTGAGGTTGAGGGTCGGTATATCATATGCACAAATGATATTATCAGGGTACAGGGATATGCTACTCAAATCTTGAAGGTGTGGGATATATTGCATTTGGTAGATATACCGGCATTAGTCAGTAAACTTGACATAATTTATGGAGCATTTAGTGATGATTTCCTTATACGTTGCAAAGAAAAGTGTCTCCAGGGGTATGTTCTCTTTATATACTTTGCATATCATCTATTAATGCAGTGAGTGATCACTCTTCAAACATGTACTGAAGTGCTTAGACGACACAATTGCATCATAAGAATGAATATGCTGCTGCATTTAGCTCAAAAGAAAATTACCTTTGTTTGTCTGTACCTCTGTATGTGCATATTGAAATTATTGACAAAAGCAGCACCATATGTGGCTTTCCATCTTTTCCTAATGTTCATCATGATTGTTTATGTAGGAAGTTGGAACTCCCAAGACACTTCACTTCATTTGATGTTGAACGTTACAAAGTTGTTAACAGCTCAAAATCAACAAGTGCTTTGGATGCTGATAGAAGTGGAACAAGTTTTATTGAGAATGCAAAAGTTAAGGAGAGTTTGCTCCTTATGAAATTCTATCCATTTTTTGCAGGTGTCTTGAGTCACTTGATGTCTGCATCTGATGCATTGGCTCTAAATGTCCCTTTTGAGGTATCAGACCAAGAAAGAGAGGTAATTCTCAATGGAAAAAGCACCTTCATTTTAGGGCGATCTGGCACAGGTAAAACAACTGTGTTGGTGATGAAGTTGTTTCAGAATGAACAACAACATCACATAGTTTCAGAAGGAAATGTGCATGAAGCCTTGATGATAAGTGGGTTTTCAACCAATGCTCCTGGTAAAATTGGAACATCCCTTCGCCAACTTTTTGTGACCGTAAATCCAAAACTTTGTTTTGCTGTCAAACATCAAATCAACAATCTTACAAGGTTTGTGAACCTTTTCATTATCTTTTTCCCATGCAGTATATACTATCCTTCATATGCAAATGAGCTTATCAATGCTGGTGTTTGGTGTACTAATGAGCTTACGGTGTATTCTAGTAAGGACCTTTATGGCTGTATTGATATAATCCTGCAGTGCTTATTAATTGCCTGCGCAGAAAATTTTCTATAAGAAACGCACTTTTCATTCTCCTATATTCTATAGTTTTATGTCCAAGTCTTAACTGACTTGTAATCAAAAAGTTGGCTTGTTAATTCTTAGCATTATTGATTCTCTTACGGTTGTTACAGCTTTGTTCATGGAGAAAACTTTGGTGAGGGATGTATCTTTAATGACGTGAATGAAATGGATGAATACGAGATGTTCAAGGACGTCCCAGAGTCTTTTGAAGATATTCCTTCAAATGTCTTTCCGCTCGTGATAACATTCAATATGTTTTTGCTGATGCTTGATAGATCCTTTGGTTTATCATATTTTGATAGATTTCCTGATGTTAGGAAAATCTATTATATGGAAACTGCAAGTTTCAGACTGGTTGTTCAGGCAGTAAGAAGGAAAGAGGTTACATTTGAGAAATTTAAATCATCTTACTAGCCTCATTTCAACTCCCAGCTCACAAGAAAGCTTGATCCTTTAAGAGTTTTCACTGAGATTAATTCCTGTATAAAAGGTAGGTTACATTATGGGGAAGGTGATAACAACAATCTGAGTTTGCAGAGTTATATGCAATTATCTAAGAGCCGAGTATCAAAATTCAGTGAGGATGAAAGAGAGCTAATATATAAGATATTTGAGGACTATGAGAAAAAGAAGGTTGTACGAGGAGAATATGATTTGGCTGATCTAGTGAATGATCTGCTTTGTCGTTTTAAGTGTGAAAATTATGAAGGTGAGCTCATGGATTTTGTTTATATTGATGAAGTCCAGGATCTAACCATGAAGCAACTTGCTCTCTTCAAGTACATATGCAGTAATGTGGAGGAAGGGTTTGTATTCGCAGGTGACACTGCGCAGACTATTGCTAAAGGTATTGATTTTAGATTTGAGGATATAAGAAATCTTTTCTACGAGGAGTTTCTCAACAATAAAATAGAAGGTGTTGGAGAAGAGCGAAAGAGAATTAAAGGGCTAATATCTCCTACCTTTCAACTAAGCCAAAATTTTCGAACTCATGCTGGAGTTTTAAATTTAGCTCAAAGTATTGTTGACCTTATTTATTATTTTTTTCCAAATTCTATTGATCCCCTGAACCAAGAAACTAGTCTCTTATGTGGGGAACTTCCAATACTACTGGACTGTGCAAGTTGTGAAGATTCCCTCATGAGGATTTTTCAAGACAAAGCAGGTCAAGGTGACAACAGCAATAGCATTAGCTTTGGATCCGAACAGGTGATAATGGTCAGAGATGATTATGCAAGAGACAAATTAGGCAAATTTGTTGGCAGACAGGCCCTTGTGCTGACAATCTTTGAGTGCAAAGGCTTGGAGTTTGAGGTAATATTAGTACTGTAGTACATTCTATTTGGACGTGTAAGTTTCTCTAGCTATGTTAATTTCTTTAAATGAGCCTTCTTATTATCTGCTGCTCAATCAATGCTCTCCTCGTTTCAAGATGGTGGTGGTTTTTTTTTTTTTTTGTTTTTTTTGTTTTTTTTTTTGTTTTTTTTTTTTTTTGTTTTTTTTTTGTGAGGGGGGGGGATTTGGTCTGGAAATCTCAGCTTATGGCTTTATGGTCCCTTATTGTTGCAATTTCCTTTGGAATTACATTACCTAGTCAAACTGTTTTTGGAGTGTCGAATTTCCAACCGCAATACTTACTTTTCTCTGCATTTTAAGTGTGTTACTGAAATCCATCATTATCCCTATAGCCATATTAAGTGTTTTCCCTTTCCAAAGTCAGATTATAACTCTCTTCAACTGCAAATAGAAATCGAGACCCTTCAATTAACACTATGCTTGTTATTGCAGGATGTGCTGTTGTATAACTTCTTTGGATCCTCACCATTAGGAGAACAGTGGAGAATTATTTATGAATACATGGAGGAAAAGCTCTGTACTTTGAATCCGGAAACTTATCCAAGTTTTACAAATGCAAAGCATGATGTTTTGTGTTATGAGCTAAAGCAATTGTATGTAACCATTACTCGTACCAGACAAAGGCTTTGGATATGCGAAGACAACGATAGTTTTTTATCTCCTATGGCTGACTATTGGCAAAAGCTGAATCTCATTCAAGTTAAAAAGTTGGATGAGTCATTTGCACGGTCTATGCAAGTTGCTAGTAGCTTAGAGGACTGGAGATGGCGGGGTAAAAAGGTTTGTCTTATTAACTCATGCTATTAAGGTTCTAACTTCTAAGGTTCTTGCTTTCCTATTTTTTAAATTTCCTTGTTGCAAATAAAGTACTCCTGTCTCATGTGTCTGCTGTTTATTAGTCTGACCTCATGTATCCCCATTTGGATCTCTTGCTTCCTTTGATTGGGCCTTTTCTAATTACAGATGCTAGAGGTGCAGAACTACAAGGCAGCTACACAGTGTTTTAAACGTGCTGGAGATTTTTACTGGCAAAAGTTTGCCAAAGCCTCTGGCTTTAAGGCTGCTGCTGACAACTTACGAGGCTTAAACGTGGAAAAGTCTTTGGAACTGCTCAGAGAAGCTGCTGAGCTGTTTGAAAGCATAAGAAACATCAAGAAAGCAGTCGAATGTTACATAGATGCTGAAGACTATGAAAAAGCAGGTAATGTTTTTAACTATCCTCCAGCCAAGCCTCAGGGAGTGCTAGAGAAATTTATATTTGGCATGAATTTGATACTGATACCCTATGGAAATATAGTAGTTACCTTTACTAAATACTCCGTACATGATCTTGATTTACATGGTAAAAATTACATCCTCCAATAGATGATGGTCCAAGTATACAAGTGCAGTTGAAGAGTTGGTGGTCATTGTAGTTTTAGATTGACTATTAGGATAGACAGCCTGATAGAAGTAATACTAGTTGGCTAACTTGCACCATATGCTGGAAAAACTTATGTATCTAACAGTCAAGTCTATTGTTTATGCCTGTTTGGTATCTGATAGCTTATTAATGTGTATGCGTTGCAGGTAAGTTATGCCTTGAAGAATCAGATCTGCAAAGAGCGGGTGAATGTTTCACCCTGGCAGGATGCTATAAACTTGCTGCTGAGGTTTATGATGAGGGACTTTATTTCAATGAATGCTTGTATACATGCTCGGAGGGTAAGTTGTATGACTTGGGCTTGTGTTACATACAAAGTTGGAAACAAAAGTATCACAGTAAGCCTGCAAAACAAAGGATCGACTTCAATGCAAGTGAACAAAAGTTTCTCCGCAAATGTGCACTTGCATTCTTTGAGCAGCAAGACAAGCAAACCATGATGAAATATGTTAGAGATTTTAGCTCTCTGGAATCAATGCGAACTTTTTTGAAGAAGCTAGGTTGCTTTGCTGAACTTCATGAGTTAGAGTTAGAATATGTTAATCTTGTAGAAGCTGCAAAATGTGCTAGACAAATGGGTAATATTTTACTGGAGGCGGATATGTTAGTGAAAGCTGGTGATTGTGAAGAAGCATCTCGGCTCTATCTTGCCTTTGCATTTGCTGGCAGTCTTTGGGCAGATGGTAGCAAGGGATGGGCTCTAAAAGAGTTTCCATCAAAAAAGGGTCTTTTGTTCAAAGCCAGAGCTCAGGCTCGTAACTGTCCACGCCATTTCAATGAGGTGTGTGAAAATATCAAGTTCATATCAAGCGATAAAGTCGATTTACATGAGTTGCAAAAGCAGTTGGCATTGTCACGACAGCATAAAAATTTAAGGGGGGAAATCTTGTCTACACGTAGAATTTTGGACAGGCTTCTTGCAACTGATGTTTCAATGCATGAATCAAGACGAAATACAATTAAAAAATCATTGAATTGGATATCTGTGACAAAATTGATTCATCACTGGAACGATTGGAAACATCAGATTGAGACAATATTTAAGTACCTGGACTCCTTAACAGAACAAGGAACTAGTGGTTTTCAAGAATATGAAAATTTCTGCTTGGAATATCTTGGTGTGAGGAAACGGTCCATCAGTCCGGATGCTGATTATTTTCTTCTCTATCCAGATGCAGAATGGGTGAAATATGTGCCCAGAAGATCTGATAAGATGGAAAGTATTGATGCTAATCAACTGGTGTACGCTGCAAAAAGGCATTGGTGTGCTGAGATATTCTCTGTTGGCTTGAAATATTTGGAGCTTATTGAATCTTTCCGAATTTTAGCTGTTGAAAATTCTATGTCGATGTACCGTATAAGTCAGACTCTGATTCATATTTTTGAAGCTGCACAGCTTCTTATCATACAGTCCAGATATCTGAAGCAGGCAAATGATGTTTTACCTTCTCTGATGAATTCCATTGATCACTCAGCAGAAGCATACTTTCTCCACTTCTTTTCTCTTGATTGGGGGAACAAGATATTTATGGGGTCTAAAGACCTTGCGATGCAAAGCAACACTTCAAGAAACCTGCTGAAAAAAGCCATACTAAAGAAGTTCATGGTTGAGGTAGATGGTGTAGATGAAGCTTTACTAACACTTTCACAAGTCAGTCAGGTGGCAGTAATATTATTTGGATCGAATTGGAAAAATAATGAAAAATATGAGGGAGTTCAAAGCAAGATCAAGTCTAATTCTCCTTGGAGTTCATTGATTAAGAATCTTGTGATTGGCACAGTGCCGCAAACATCAGATGACTATTTGCAACTTGCTTGGAATCTTTGTGATGCTTTAATGCAAGCATATGATTCAAAATCAAATATGTCGCCTTCTTGTTTTGTATATCTTCTTGAACGCCTGTTAGTGCTGGTATCTTGCTTTGATGGATGCTTATTTGCAACAAGATCGTCTGTTACTGAATGGCTTGTGCACCTGAACTGGAGTGTAAGCAAAGAACCATTCACGCTCAGTGTTGCTGGACTGTCATCTTCTGTGGAACCCATCTATGACTTCATGGCTTATACCATACACGAGCTTCTCTTGAACAAGCAGGGCATTGAGGAATGGATTGAGAAAGCTGGGTTTAATGTGAAGCAATTTTTACCAATGCTGATACTGAAATTGCTGGTTCTGATGTGCTTAATCTGCCTCAACTCAGGAAAGTATTTGGAGCGGCTGAATGATGTGATTAACAGGTCAGATACCATATCATTCTTGCCGGAGTCATTTCGTAAAGTCTTTTTTCAGAGAGAGGGTTGCAGCTTTTGCAATGTGATCGCTGAAGCTTTGAAGAGAATCGATGATCCCCTAGTGATTATTAGAAATCCAGACGTTTGTCCATATGTGTATGCTAGGCATACTATATTCCTGAATGTTTTCAACAAGAACATGGATAGTATCTTGGAAACGCTGTTCCCATCACGTCAAAAGAGTAGTTATGCTCATAGGTGATGATTGGTCTTTGGTCATGTGATGAATGATACTGGATGTTAGTTTTGTAACTTGATTTAGATTTGTGCTAGAGTTTCACTTTGTTGTATATATGAAGCTAGTGCTTCGATGTGAAAATTTGTAATGTGCTGAAATCCTCATTGAAATTGGTCCCTTTTTTGTGACAAAACAATGGACTAAATGCCATTATTTTTGTTGTGTATCATGAGTATTAGCTCTCTTTCGAGCAATTCTAGTGGTGTTTCTCTTCTACTTGTTAATCTCAAGATTATATTTTTAAAGACAATATGACATATAACTGAAATGATTGATAAATATACATTTTTTACAACTCACAAGTAATTCTTACACACTTGTATCATTATTCAAGCAAAAAAAAAAAAAAAAAAAAAAAAAAAAAAAAAAAGTTATTGCGGATCACAATTCACAACCCACACCCTTGCCTCGTTCACGTAATAAAAAAAATGTTGTACTCTACAAAGTAAGAAGTACTAGTTAGTGGCTTGACCAATACTCAATGGTTATTGATCTTACTTCCACCCATCTATTTACGGATTTCACTTGCATCATTTAAGTTTTTGTCACAACCACTTTTTTTTTTTTTTTTTTTTGGGGGGGGGGGGTCAATTTATAGTTTATTAGCCATTTTCTAATAAAAAGGGCTAAAGACTCATGTAAGGAATACCCTTGACTGCACCTAACTCTATGTACACACAAAGACATATCGGTTGATTAATATGGCACAACGTATTACTCACGTAGACTTTTGACTTACTAGTCTAGCCAACTATCACCAAACTTTAGTAAATACTCACATTGACTTTGACTTTGACTTATTATTCTAACCCAAAAACCACGATAACAAGTAGTACTCTGTACTAATAATGCACCATTTCTTGACTAAAATCTCTGTAAGTATACCCAAGTTAGGGGCACAATTCCGCATCACAGACAACACTAACAATCATGAAAAATCTTGTTACTGGCACACCAAGCTCCTACTACTATACTTTTATAATAGTGCTCCTCACAATTTCCACCAAATTCCTGCACACCACCCATGCCCAAGCTTGCAACCCAGGCCAGCCCCTGATCGGAACCGGTGGCGGCCAATGTGACCCCAATGAAGCCGACTGCTGCAAAGCTGGGCAGTCATACACTACTTATGACTGCTCGCCCCCGGTTACTGCCCAAACCCAAGCTGTGCTGACTCTAAACAGTTTTGCTGAGGGCGGGGATGGGGGTGGCCCCTCGGAGTGTGATGGTAGCTACCACCCTGACAATACCCGTGTGGTGGCGCTGTCAACAGGATGGTACAACGGGGGCTCACACTGCCTCCAGGAGATCATCATCAGTGGCAATGGGCAGACGACAAGGGCGAAGGTCGTGGATGAATGTGACTCCAGAAATGGGTGTGATGAAGAACATGGGTACCAAGTCCCTTGTAAGAACAATGTTGTTGATGCGTCTAAGGCAGTTTGGAGCGCCCTTGGAGTGCCAGAGGACTCAGATCAGTATGGTCAGATGCAAATTACTTGGTCTCTGAGTGACTAGTTGAGTTTAAAATCTTCTCATGTAATGCTGTTGCATATGTTGTTGCAATTATGTTAAAAAACAATTAGAACTACTAGTACCAGTACTAATCATGTACGGTTAGCGTATGCATAAGAGGTTCAAATATGCTAAAATTTATATACTAGTATTATACATTATGTATCTTAATCCTGTATGAACTGATGCCTGAATTAATAAGTTTTGTATGAATTTAGTATATCGGTCAATTATATGAGTAATTATATTCTGACTGTAACAAGACTAACAACCAGCAGACAATCACTAAGTATCACCGGGGTGGTAAGGTTTGGAGATTCACAAAATGATCCTCACCACCGCTTGATTTCCAAAAATCAGATTCGAGCATGTCTCGTTATACTAGTGGCATAAATTACAACATCAAAGCATCAAACATATACTCCATACTATGTCTCAAATATCCATTATCCAAGGCAGGTACTTGGCAGATGAAAGAAAATTATGTTAAGCAAATCTAACATATACGAAGTATTCAGTACCTTGTAAGAATGACATAAACATGATTTCCATGTCAAAATAAGGGAGTATCAAGCCTAAAATGAGCCCTACTCCTTTCTTTGGGTTGAGCTGCTGATATACAATAGTTAGATTAGACATTAATTAGTGTAGCATTCAAAAGAGAGAAGATATTTACAGAGGTAATTATCCCTTTCATCCACGCATCAGATCAATGCCCATATGAGAGTTTCTCAAGTCCAGCGTCTGTGGACTAGCCCATTCACCCATCGCAGAGGTTGGAGACGATAAATTTTGGCTCTGTCGACCACTTGGAGGAGCCATCATCGTATTTTCAACAGAATAATGCTCCGAATCTTCACCACCTTCATTTCCTTCTTTAATCTTTGGATTTGTCTTTGGGGTTGTCCATAAAAAGCTCCCAACTATTACCTAATTTCCAACTTAGAATTACTGCTATGTTTTCGTTATCTAAAAAGAGCTTTATATTTTAATTGAATGAAACAGACATCACTTCTTTTTATTCCGGCTACTCTAGATTCTTTATGTATCAAAGCATATTCTATGTTTAAGGCAACAAAGATCGTAAGCTTACCTGAACAGGGCAGGCTGCAATAAGCATTCCACCAATGGCACCACCAATGACACGACCATCAGGGCTTGCAAGTGAAATGCTCACACCACCACTTCGATCACGAGAACCATCATTACCAAGAAGCAAGAAAGATCCTGACATGCATAATATGTCAAAGCGCCCCTACACAAACCAATTTTCAGCACTAAGAGATTTGAAGAACAGTTTAAGGCTTTAGGTGAGGTCAAAGCAGTCTAATGTAAAAACCATAGTGGAACTTTGGAAGGGCAGTAACAAATCTAATGGTGCCAAGGGTTCCTTGGTGAGAAGACCCATTAATTCTCTCATAATGCAAACATGGTGGTTATGGGCCTTATGGCTACGTTTATTCACCTGGATTCTCCCAAAACAAACTTACTCTCCCTTGTTTAAAGTTTTAAGGGGTTCAGGATATGCTAAAGGTTTTAAAAAATGAATCTGAAACAATACAGAATATAGCAACTAATCATGCGGTAACAACCTCATATGTGACGGTACCACCAGAAGTTGAGGGCTGCCGTAGGGTCACTGTGGAGACAGCACCATTTGCTGACAATATGCATACAGCTCTAGGCCCTTGTTGTGCAAATGCCAAGAGTTTTGATGCAATGTCCTGGGCAGTGTCGAAACATATGTCAGATAGCAAGCAGATTATGTTCATTTTATAGAAGCTGCAAATTTCTTAATAACATTAATATAGTTGGGCAGACATAGGTTAAAAACATATAGCAAGTACAAACTTTGTAAATATGCATAACAGAGGCAGACAGTAAATTTCTGGTACAAAAATAATCAATCTATTTCTCAAAGGCAAGTACAAAAATAAGATTATTGTATAATAGAGACGGATAGCATACTTCCCCTGCTGCAACTTGAATAACATGAGGAGTAAAGCCCACACCAGCTGAACCAGACACAAATTTGCCTGGTAAGAAAATGAAACATAGACTAATATCAATACAACAAGCTAGTTCCTTGGACAAGCCAGCACCATTGAACAACAATACTGAAACTCATCTAGTTTGTTATGCTTGTTACAGAATTAGCAGATTTTGCCAAATTACCAACTTATACTAGCTAATAGTCCGCATCTCAATTGGAACATCACAACTGATTCATGATTTTGAAAGTGAATAAGCTTCAAAAGCAGATATCCAACAAGATACAAGACAGACCAAGGTACAAGACTTGGAACCAAGATCACTGGTGATATTGATACCACAGATACAATTAATATTACTGGAAACCATCAAGCACAGGTTATCTCCATAGTTTAGCAGTCATCTCCTCCAAACACTTTTTTAGCACTCATCTCTCCAAGCAATTTGAGTCTTAAGAGATGACTCATAGTCAGGAACTACACTAGTTACTGCATATAAACCCACCCTCAAACTACCATATGCTTAAAACACATTAAAATTACTAGGCAAGTTCGGGCATTCTAGTGATCAAGTGGTATAACAATACACCATTAATCTACTATGGTCATCATTGGGCCATCTTTGACCAAATTGCTAAATGCTAAGCAGAAGCAATACATGTCATTGTCATTCCCTGAGAAAGTCGAAAATCTTACCAAAGGGAGCCAATGGTTGCTTTCTTCCGCTACCAGGAGGCCGGCCTCTACCCCTCTTCTCAGTTGAGGTGTTTATAATCCTAGGGGCAGCTGATACAGAGGAGAGGTCTGATGACATTTTCCCATCAATTCCATATTTCCGAGGCCTTCCTCTTTTCCTTCGCATTGGTGTAACAGAAGCCTGCATTGATGATGGTGCACCTATACCACGGCCATCTGATAGAACAGTTGAAGAGGGTTCCACCCTCATACTCGGTCCTGAAGAGCCTCCGACATTTGACTGGAAAGGCATCCCGGAATTAGGCAATGAATGGACACTTTGCGGCCCATGTAACCCGGCCAATCCTTTCTGCATATAAAACCCACCTTGTCCTGACATTGGCATAGGTTCTCTCTCCATGCATTTAGTTCACAGAATCACAGCAATTCAGAAGATACTTGCACAACCCCAATTGAGAACACCCTTAACTTCCAATCAACTACACAAATATATAACTTCAACCCAAGCAGTCTCCTCACCTCTTTGATCTAAGAAGACTTAAAAGCTATGAAGCAACCTTTATAGCAAAACTGATTGAATCTTCAGTTCAGACACATAAATACACTACAATGTGCTTAATTTCCCTAAACAACAACTACACTCGTTTCCAAGGCACAAGAAACTTTCAAGAGTTCAAGCAATTTAAAAGCTGCAGCAAAGAAAGTTCACAAATTTGTGAGTTGAGTCATGAAAACTCCAACAAAACTAAATAATAAAAATTGAATTATGTTACAATTAAATTCAGAAATATGACAATATTTGGATCTAGGTTATCATTGTGCAATTTATGGTGATAGTTGTCTAAACTTGTCAAGTTCCAGGCTTTTTTAAAGAGTGTGTTAACAATTGTATTTGGGTCAGGTTCTTGTCACCAAGTTACACACTGAGCACAGGAAAAACACTTCCAAGGAAACCAACCAAAATTGCAGCACAAACAAAAACTTCATACTAGGTAACAACACATCTATTTATTTACTAATTAAAACAGACATGCAATGCCATAAAATAATAATAAAAGCAACCAAACAAAATCCCAAAAGTACCTTACACTAACTAACTAACTAAGAGAAAACTTAAATAAACAAAATTACAAGTTTCAGAACATACCTATAATTAGCCAACCAAATCTTGTACTACTCCACTAACCAAAATAATCCATATAGAAGAACATAACAAAAATTGTTTAAAGGGGTTAAAATTGAAGAAAATACAAGAAAAATTCTGGGTTTTTGGAGTTGTAAATGATCAAGCGCCGCATTAATGAAAGATGAGTTTTTTAAGTGGGTAGAATGTAGGTGGTTTTTATTAAAGGAAGATTTTATCATCAATCTTAATTATAATAATGATAAAAAGGGAGAAAAAAGAGGATGGATTTTAGCAAGATTATGTGATTCTGTGAGGTTGAAGATGACACTTCATTTCCACTACGGCGGGATTATGAATGAATGAATGAAAGAGAGAGAAAATTGGAGTGTAGTGTAATGTTGTCTATCCAAAACTACAAACAGTGTTTATTTTTTTGGGGTAACAGAAAATGAAATGAAAGAAAAGAAAATGGGATTTTTTTTTATTTATTTATTTAATTTTCTTGTGGATAAACTAGCTCTTCTTTTGTGAGTTTTATCTCATCATCAATCATCATCCACTTCTTTCTTTCTTCCTTTTTAGAACCTTACCTCCTGCTCCCACCACAATCCCCATCTCAAACAATTATCAACCCGTGCTTGTAGATCATATGTTTCCTCTGTGGTCTTTAGTCTCTACTAGAGTCGTCAAATCCGGTATTCGTCTTCTTAAAAAAAAAAAAAACGATTTTCGGGTTAAATTAAAAATGAAAATGGGTCGACTACCGGCTGACTCAAGGCACGATGCGATCCATCTAAATAAAAAGTTACAACACATATATAGACCTGACTAGGCACGGTACAACATGACTTAAAATGACATGACAAGCATTTCGGCACCATATGTAACCGGCACAGCTAACCCCAAGATAAGCATTTGGGCACCATATATATAGGTAAGATTTTGGTGATCTTGAGTCATATTTTTTTCATTTTTTGGTTAATTGAGTTGGTCAATATTACACCTTTTGTCTCAAAATTTGGCATCGTCTTACACTAATGAATGTTACAAAAAGAAAGGTTTTAATGAACAAAAACACTACTCTATCATGTCATTTCAATTCTTTCAAACATTATACTTTAAGACATTATGGTTTAATTATCATCTCTCTTTAAAATATGATCATACTGATCTGTGTTACACCCTTCTGTCTCAAAAGTTGGCATCATCTTACACTAATGAATGTTACTCCACAAAATAAAAGCTTGTACAGTAATGAACAAAAACACTACTCCATCATGTCAATATCAATTCTTTCAAACATAAGAATTTATCTTTTAAGAGCAATTTAAGACATTTTAATTTTTACTTTCATATCTCTTTACAATATGATCATAATGTAAAATAAAAACCATTATTTTGGTTCACTCAGTTTAAATTTCTGGAGCTGTTAGCATAAAAACGGCCAATAATTTCTTTCCTTTTCGGGAAAATTTAAGCGTGAATCCTGAAAACTTAGAAAAATCACACAAATTGGCCAAGAAAATCCCATTCAAGCATTTATGTAAATACTTCATAGCTAAATTACTCTGCATTGCTATAGTATTAGACATGAAAAGGAAATGTAATCATATGTCTGGATATAATTGACAACGCTGAAGAAAATTGAGGGTAAATGAAAACGATATCTTCTAACTAAACAGAAAGATCTAGAAAATTACGCATACATTTCTCTATTGAAAGACCATGACTATTAACAGCAGCGAAGAGTAAGATAAATACATCCAGCCTACAGAAAACAAAACAATTGGTGCAGTCACATTGAATCTTTATAATGGATAATTGAATCCCAAAAAAAACACATGATCACCCAGAGCCTATAGGGGAGATATCTGTGGGTGCCCCTGCCGAAACAAGATTAACAACCTGCATAAAAGAGATGGAAGGTATTCAGAAAGATAATGACCATAATCCGTTGTGTGCTATAAAGATTGTGACAAACATCAAATGCAAAATATAATGAAAGTAAACTACATGAACTAGAAATCATAACATAACCCAGTTTGGCTAATATATTTATTCAACAAATTGAACTATTGCGAGGAGACATCCGATAAGTAGCAGAATTAACAAGCTCAACGGCTTCTTCAGTACAAGGTCATAGATTTCCCAAGTAGAAATTACTTACTTCTTATACAGTTACTTTACACGAAATGCTCCATGCAAAATATCTCTGATAGTATGGGTCTATGGGATAATTTCCCCCAACTAGAGACCTTTATTTAAGATTTTCTCATAATTAACATGGCACCCTCTAAATCTCTGCAGTCTGCATAACCCAATTAATCTTTGTCTTTGGCAAATAAGTGGGAAACAGGATTACAGCCTATGGGTCATAAAAAGCCAAATGCTATGATAAAATTACCGATTCAAATGGCCATTGGCCAAGGTAAGTTACTTCTTTATTTATATACATGCACTCCTTGACCGGATTCACTAAAAAATCAAAAGAATATTCCTCAATATTTAAGTTAACCTCGTTTTTCAAAAACTTAGAAAAGCAAAGATGCAGAACAGATAGTTGCCCAATGCTTGGAAGTTACCGTTTCTAATATGACCTACATTAACCAAGCATTGTAGCCTTGTAGACACACATGGAACCGGCCAAAAAGGTAGAGCTACCATCTCTCGTGCCTGATTATTTATTTCTAAGGATCAAGTACAAAATCTTGCACACTCGTTGCTTAAAAGTTACCGTTTCTAAGGATCAAGTATATAGATATATAGCAAATTCTCGATTGTAGGAAGCCTACCACGCATAATTGCATTCCCTGGAAATTTCTCTTCCTAAACTTCAATCTAGCAAGCATGATTATGTATCTTAAAAACTATCCACTAGTAACCAACTCAGTTCAATAGGGCAACAGCAACTCACTTTTGATACAAGCAGCCATTGACTCATTAGATAGTTCCATTGTCACTATAGTATCTATATTAAACTAACAATGCTAACATCCAACATACGGACGATAAGACCTACAATAAGTCTATAACATCGTTTTAAACCGCCAAGGTAGTATTGAATTATTGATTACAACATAGGCATCAGATAGAACAACCAGATAAACGGAGTTAATTGCATAAAATTTAAGTTTTGATGCAACCACATTAAAGTATTAAACCATATGAAAATTCATCTAAGCATAAAAAATCAGTTCATTGCAAATAAAATCATATTTGCATTGCTAAGATAATAAATTAAACCTTAATCATCAAGCTCCATAGCTTGTTGAGCCTTAGCTTTCGCCGACGCCGACAATTTGGTCTTCAATTTCTTCTTCACTGAGAATTTACCAGTTTTCTTTTTCTTCTTATTACTCCCATCAACCTACACACATCAAATTCCAAATTCAATTAACAGATTACAACATTGACCCAAAAAACTTAAACATCCAACTTTCATTGACATGATTTTCAATCAAATTCCAGAATCAGTAATAATTAATAATAAATACCTTCATTTTGTTCTTATTAGCATGAAGCTTCTTCGCCTTTTTCTCTTTCTCCTCTTTTTCTCCTGATAATAAAGCAACAATTTGGGAAATTTCAATTAGCAAAACCCTAATTCAATTGACAATAAAATCAAATTAGAAAGGATGAGAAAGATGAATAATTACTTCGCATATCGAAATCGTGCTGTCTCTTGCGAGTAGCAAGATTGTTTTTCTTCGACATCTTTGGCAAAGAATTTTCAGCTTCAAATTATGAAATTATATTACCGAACTTCTGCTATTTCACAGTTTAACTGACAGAAGAACCCTAAATCCCCAATTTCTGATACAATTGAATATCGCCTATTGGAATTTGACCATAATCATCGGGTAGCCAGGCCCAGTCAACTCTCCTTATGACACAAGTGAATCAACCATTATATGGCCCAACCAAATTTTCCTTTCTATATGTCTAGACCACTTAAGTTAAAGACTCGTTTGGTATCGCGATCAATTTTTAATTTTTGTTTTTTTTAATTAATACTTGTACATTCGTAGTATAATGTGTTTATATTAAACAAAAACGACAAAAAATAGAAATTAATGACTTGTTCATTTATAAAAGTATACTTGTACGGTTGTACCCTCAAACATTAATAACATTAATCGATTCTATTTTTGTTTGAATTGACCTTACCTCAAAAATACAGAGTATACCGGAAAATATACATGTGTTAATGCTATGTTTACGGGGGATATTGAGGTTTCGAAAATAATTTAACATATATTTTTTTCCCCAATTAGGGAGAATTTTGTCCAAAGATCGACTTTCACCATATTTTTTTGTTTTAGCATCTGCATGTCGGGTAATAAGATAAGGAAATCTTTGTTTTTAAGAGCATGAACATCAGGGAGGATACCTAATTTATCTCTCGTTACGTCCATTTGATACATTACATTTTCTTTCTTCCACATCACTTTTCACTATCTCCATCCTTTGCGTCACCCTCTTTCTTTAATTTTTCTATCAATAAGGGTATATTTTATTTTTTTTCTTTCTTATTTACATATACCCCCACCATATATCATTTCTTCTATTAATATACTAATTTACTCATTAAAAAAATATCAAAATAATCAAAATTTTGGCTGGGGTTAAGGATTTGTTTCCTACGAAGTATTAAGGAAGAGAAATCCTTTAAGCTATTTGACCATCGATAGGAATCTTTTGAGCAACCCAAACATCTAGCCAAAAGGATATGTTGTATATCATTATTGATGTTCATGTTCTAAGTACTCTTACTAAGTAAGATTTGATCCTAAATCAAGCAACATATTACTAGATCAACATTTTTACACGGTTATACTTAATTTTTAAAATCACCTCACACGTAAAATATATAAAGTGTCACGTCAAGTTGCGCCTCATGTTGAACTAACATGTCATAAATGGTCATAGTTCTGGTCCACATACAAGCTAACTACTACTGTCTCGTGTTGTGCCAAAAATCTAAAAATGGTGACTTCGGTAAGCTTGATTGTAATGTGCATAACTGCATAAGTCAATTCTCACTTAATTTTAGTTTTTTTTTTTTTGACTTTTTGACTTCTTTTTTTTTTGACTTCTTTTTTTTGTCATGCATTTCCAAAAATCTAATCTCAAATCTAACATCCATAATTCCATATTAACATGCTTACTTATGTCATTTTTTTTCATCAATGCCATTTGCTATAGGTTACAAGCTACTAGCACTAGGTTGCATGAATAAGATCTTTTTTCACAACTCCAAAGTTCCCTATTTGCCTTTTACCAAGAGAAAAGTTAATTATTACAAAATGCAAAAATAGCATTAAAAAAAGGCCATTAACCTTCAAAGAGAATAATGATTCGAATCTCAAGAATGAGTACAACCCACGTGCAACTCCCATAAAGTTCTTCTTTTTTTTTCATTTCATCTTATTAATTTCTTCTACCAATTCAGAAAAATTGACCAAAATCTCAATTATTATCTGGCGCCGTTCTGTAAACTCAACGCCTAAAATTATTACAGCCACTCTCCTACTTCTAGTCTTCTTCTACTGTTTTTTTTGCTTCAATTGTTAAACATAAACACCCATTTTATCCTCTTAATAATGGAGTCACTTTAGTATACTCTATATTACTCAAAAAAAATTGGATTGATTGATTGACTGACCCCCCCTTATATTTTCTTCTTCAAATTCCATGAATTTGGACAACACTTCCAATTTTTTTGTCAAAATTCCCTGATTTCATGTTCTGAAACCCTTTGATTTCCCTTAGATTTTGTTATTTGGGTGTATCTTCAATGCCCCACTTATTAATTTGATGACCCATTTGCTTGATCTGATCCAATTTGGTTTATTTAAGTTGATTTATTTAGTGGGGTTTGTTTGATTTTTGAGGTACCCATCTTTTATTTTTTGGATTGAATTTTGTTTAAAATTGATCAGAATTTTCTGGGTTTGAGAAATTTGGATCTGGGTGTGATGATTTGTTGAAATTTTTTCATGTTTTTAGGGTTTTGGAAGTGTTAGAAGCTAATCTATTGACTGAATTGAGGAGTAAGAAGCTGTCTTAGCTGATTGTGTGTGTAAAAGGTGAGCAATTCCTCAACTTTCTAGAAAAATATTCTGTTTGTTTGTAATTTGGATTTTACTAGAAAATGGTTGTGAGGTTGCTAGATTTATTGATTACTTTGTTTGATCTATATAATTTTTACTTGTTTAGGTTATATGATATTGTTGCTTTAATCGATTTAGTGACAGTTGAAAAGCTATTTTGATGGGACAAACTAGAAGAGAGAAAAATAGAAAGAAAGATTTTACCATGCATTAGTAAACTTTTTAATTTTATGAGTTATCTTTATTAGAAGCCTTTAGGCTTTATGTGAAAATTTAACTAGGATACTGTTTTGATAATAATTCTGAATCGCCCCTTTCATGTTAGAATAATTATCTTTTTAATGCATGATGCTAGAAAAGTATATTTGTTGCTTGTGCTTCAGGTAACTGTGTAGAGAAATGGGATCTCAAGGGTCTAAACTCGGAACGTGTTGCTTAGGTTCACCTAATAAGACAGCAGTGCTCGAGGCTCCTGATGTTGGTAGGTCAAGCAGTTTCTCAACATTTTAAGCATAGTCATTTTCTTGATGTGTTTGTGTGTGTGTGTTTTTTTTTTGGAGAATTTCTGTGTTGATTGGTGATCATGTTTTGGGACAGGTAATGAGGATGATAATGGACTTGGGTTACTCACATTCCGCGAGTTCACATATGAACAACTTAAAAATGCAACATCAGGCTTTGCAGTTGAGAACATCGTATCTGAACATGGTGAAAAGGCCCCAAATGTGGTGTATAAAGGGAAACTAGAGAACCAGACAAGAATTGTCGTTAAGCGTTTTAATAGAAGTGCATGGCCTGACTCTCGGCAATTTTTGGTAAGGAAGCTCTCTTATCGTCCTTCGATCCAAACCTACCATGCTTTACCTTTCAAACGAGTAGTTCTTTGACTTTTTTCATGCTTTAGTAGGCGCTCATGTTTGAAATTTTAATCTAATGTACATAGTGAATTACCAGATAATTGGCATGTTATTTATCTGCTCTCGTTTTCTCTCTGATTATAAAGTTACTTTCTTGAGAGAGAAGACTTACTGAATTGTTTATAGCGGCACTATGTTAGCTCAGAATTAATGGCTTAGGTAATATATATTACTATTTAATTCCTGAAAACAAAATTATGTCCTAGAGCTTAGTTAAGGAGTCCAATTTCAATCTGTTCCAAAAGTCACATTTGAAATTGAACTCCTTAGTCCTTAACCAAGGTCATATAAGATATGTTGTCCGGACTCAAGTATCACTGTTAGACATTGCCACACTGGTACTTTTCCAAGTTTTTATTTTGCTATACTATGAAAATTTTTCCATCGTGTTGTCCACTTGTCCAAAATGAAGTGTCAACTGTCCATACCATAGCTGGAGTATTGATCGTTTGACATCATTTGTAGCATAATGAAGAGTTAAAGTTGATTGTTTGAATCGATGCTCTGCTGTCACTTTAAATTATCTGTCCAATTGTCACCTAATATGATATTCTTGTCTGTGCCCACCTTGTCTGCAATAAGCTTTTTAGTTTGTACGGAGTATGTGACATTTACATGGCAAAAGTTTCAGTGTGTATAATTTGTGTTAGTTTAGCTTAGTTTCCTTTGTGTTATCTTCCTTTGCTCAGTCACTATTCTTATTGATCTCAGGTGTGATTTTCTTATTACTATTAAATTTCTCATTTTGAGTTATTATATGCAATTGAATATTACTACCCCTCATATGATAGTATCTTAACTTTTCTAGCTAGAATTGTTATATAAGCATTTATTGCTTTGCTGAATCCGTGTTCCTGGTCCTTCTTTCTCATGTTCAGGAAGAAGCTCGGTCTGTTGGTCAGCTGCGTAACCAGAAGTTGGCAAATCTGCTTGGCTGTTGTTGTGAAAATGATGAAAGGCTACTTGTGGCTGAGTACATGCCCAACAGTACCCTTGCAAAACATCTTTTCCATTGTAAGTATGCGGCCTGTGTGGCTGTGTTGTTTTAGTGAGCTTTGTGGGGTGCTTACAGCCTTACATATAGTTCTTGATAACAGTGTCATGCAAATATGCAATATTCTGGTTCAAGCTCATCTGGCCTGTACCCATTGATGCCTCCCCCTTCCCCCCTTCTCTTTTCCCCATATCTTCTTATGAGGATGAGTTAGCAGCTTCATAAATGTTCTTGCTAATCACGAGCTTGTTAATTTATTAGAGCTAATGGCTGTTTTTTTTTTCCTCAAATGAAGGCTGTGCTATGTTGAAAGTCTGTAAAACTGCTTCTCACCTTACATTCTTAACCTGAATTAGGTTTAAATCCTTTGTCTCCACAATTAAGGTTATATAAAGACCCATTGTATGGCAATGCCACCTGCAAAACTATTTTCTTCCCTAAATTGTGGTTAATTTTTTTTCTTATGTATTTTGAAATGTTCATTGTTACTCACTTTGGTAGGGGATGCACAGCCAATGAAGTGGGCAATGCGGTTGAGGGTTGTCCTACATCTTGCTCAAGCTTTGGAATATTGTACGAGCAGAGGACGATCCCTTTATCATGACCTCAATGCTTACAGAATTCTATTTGATGGGGTAAATAAATCACTGATATTCTGTCATTATTCTATGAATCTAATTCATTGTACTAGTATTTCTTTTGATATTCTTCAAATCATTTATTGAAAACTTGCAGGATTGTAATCCCAGGCTTTCTTGCTTTGGCTTGATGAAAAATAGCAGAGATGGGAAAAGTTATAGTACAAATCTGGCATTTACTCCTCCAGAGTATTTAAGAACTGGTAAATTATGATCTTTTTCCTCTCCTCTTTCACTTATCTTCTATT